CTCTCTCTCTCTCTCTCCTCTCTCACTCTCTCTTTAAAAAAAAAATAGTAATAATAGGTGCTGAGGTTACGGCTCTGGGGTAGAGCGCTTGCCTAGCACATGTGAGGCATGGGGTTCCATTCTCTGTACCACATAAAAATAAAATAAAGGTATTGTGCCCATCTACAACTAAAAAAAAAATTTAATAGTAATAACAAATTAACAACTCTTGGTTCCTCTATCTCCTGTCCAGTCACCACCCTCTCTCTCTGTTCCACTTGAAGCACATCTCCCTCGAGTTTTTATTCAGCACCTCCATATCACCTCCTTGTTCCTCTCTAGCCCACTCTCACAAGGTTCTTGTCCATCTGTCAAGGTTGTTGGTGACGTCCATGTAGCCAAATCCAACAGTCAGTTTTCCGGCCTCCTTTATCACCTAGACACCACCATTTTGTCCCATGTCATTGGCCCAGGGGATCACTCTTCTTTCTTGCAAACTCTGCTCTCCTCCTTCTTCTTGGTTCTCATCCTGAGAGGGGCCATTTCTACTCCATATCTTTTTCTTTATCTCCCTGTGCTCCAAACCATATGTTCCAGGACTCAATCCTGAGACCTCTTTTCTTCACCACCTCCACGCATTCCCTGGGCATTCCATCGGACCCCACAGCTCTGCGTACTTGTCCACACACTGCTGACTCCAGATCTCTACCACCCGCCCTGACCTCTCCCCTTGACCAGCCTTGTGGGTCCAGTATCCCTCTTGGTATCTTCTCCTGAATATCCAACAGGTTTTATTAAATCACAAACATACACACACACACACACACACACACACACACACACACACACACACGTCCTATTGCCGTGCAATCTTCCTCATCTTCAAAAATGTAAGTTCCAAGCTCCCTGATGTTCAGAGAGCCAAGCTGGACTCATCTTTTTCTCCCTCTCTCTCTGTTCAACCCTTCAGCAAATCCTAACAGCACCTTCAACACCTGTCCATCTCTGATTCTGGGTACCTCTCCACCATGTTACCCAAGGCACTGCCATCCCTCACATGGAGCATTGAAGTGGCCCCTTCTTATCTCCCAAACTCATCCTACCTTTAGTGTTTTTTCAATGCGGCCACAGCCACTGGGGTGATGTTTTAACACAACGTGAGACCATTTTGCTACTTTATTCAAAACTCTCCGGGGCTTCCCACCTCATTCAAGGTAAAAGCAAAAATCCCTGCAGTGGCTGACAAGGGTCTGCAAGAGCTGGGCCCTGGCCACTCCTCCAATGTCCTCTCCCCGACTCCAGCTCTCTCTGTTCAGGTCACATTGACCTACTTGCCACTCCTCAAACGCATCAAGTCCCTTCCACCTTTGGACTGGATAGTCTCTGTGTCCAGAATGCAACCATAGAGGCCCCAAGGTCAGCTCAGCAATTTTGAGGCAAAAGAAGAAGATGAGGAGGCTGGAATGAGGGAATGACAAATATCTGGGGAAGGACATCCAGTCCGAAGGAACAGTGGGTCCCCAGGCCATCAAGAGGGGAAGCCAGTAAAGCTAGCTGGAGGGACCAAGAGATACTGAAGCGGGAGAAGAGTGAGGAGAACAGGGACAGGTGCCCGTGATGGAGGGGCCTTGTACAGCACTCTAAGTGTGTGGCCTTCGTTCTAGAAGGGAAGGAGGATAACCAAGGACAGCTGCAGATGTGCTTCCCTAGGAACGGCTGAGGGAAGCCGGAACCGGGAGGACAAGACTGCTGCAGGGAGACAGTGAGGAGGCTGGAGGGCATTTCTACGAGGGCTCAACCCCTGAAAGCTCTTCTGGGGACCCACACTTCAGAAGTCCTACGGGGAGGCCAGGCCTCTGCCTGCATTGCTGTCCTCAACCCCTACAGTTGGAGCAGATGAGGTCCAGGAGTCACCTAGCTGTGCCGGCCTGAAGTTAGGCTGGAAGATGGTGGCCCAGCAACCGGGGATGTTCCGAAGTCACCGATGGTACGTGGTGTCATCCACTGTGGCCATCAAAGGGGGCACTGTTCTGTTCTGAGAGATGAGGACACAGGGCTTTGGGGAAAGCGCAGGCCCCATTCAAAAGGGGTCTGTCCCAACAACCAGGCCAGGCAAGCAACACGGCCTGATCTTCAGATTTCCCCAAGGAAGCTGGAAAGACAACGTTTATGTAAAATGTCCCAGTTTTATTCTGATTACAAATTCAAATTGGGGCAGAGAGGTCAGACATAACTCGCCTGCCACCAGTTGGTAACCTCTCTCCTAATGTTGAGTCCTTTTGAGATAAGGAAGTCCTTCCTTCCTTACCTCTAGCAAGGTCAAAGAGGGAGCATTTTAGCAAAGGGACAGAAAGGAGTTCACTGGAGATGGAAGTTTCTTGCTAAAAGGAAGCAGCTGAGCTTCCACAGCTCCCTAACCCACAAAGACCAAGGGCAGAGACTGAGCTGCATCCAGAGAATAGGAAATGATGATGGCCTTCTGGGTTAAAGAAACTGTAGCTGTGGTGGAAAAGAGACCCAGAGTCCACTGTCATCTGAGGGACCCTGCCCATGCCAAGAACATCATGGTTTCTTTCTCTGGAGAGAAAATACAGCATCAGGCAGAAAGGGGAAGCCATGATCTAAGAGACCTGGGCTCTGCCACCAATGCACCAAATGACCTGTCACCACCAGCCTTGGGTTTTGGATTTCCTGCTCTGCACCATAAGGAGCCGGGGCTTGATGAGCCCCAACAGCACGTCCCACTCACTCTGCGCTCCTGGGCTGCTGGGACAGCCGTAGGAGGAACAGCCTCCCTGGGGACGTTCCACGGGGTGGCTGGAGAAGCGCGCCGAGACGTCCCCCCGTCGCACACGAGCCATCATTTCTGGAATAACTTCAGATTCAAGCTGCTTTTGTAAACTGCCCCGTTTAAATTAAAACAAATCAATATGCTTTCTAAAATTTAGTCTCAGCTAAACAGCTGTGACAGTTCATAGCAACCTGAACTTGAAATGAACCCACCCTACGTATAAATAAAGCCTTTGATGTCTTCATTAGTTTCTCACATGCCATTTCTTCACAGTCTATCAGGCTAAGTGCTCTGCAACTTATATATATTTTTGCAGCAGGAGTATTTAACCTTCTGATTAGTCACCGCAAGCAGCACAATGACAGAAACCCTGATTTTGCACACAATGAATTTATTGATAGATTTAGCCCATTAGCTGTATTTACCTGTCAGTTCTACGGACACTAATGAGTTGTTTTTCAAGGACTAATGAGAACTGTAATGGCTAATGGATGTTTACAGCTCCACCGCGCCGCACCATGTGACGCCGTGAGCGCCCGCTCCCATCCCTCCGAGTCTTTAATTGGCACCATCAGAGGACTCTTTAATTACATTTGAGAAGACAATAAAGATCCTGGCCAAATCAATGGGAGGGAGGCAGTGGGATTCCACAGGAAGCTGGTCACTCCAAATGGGCACCAGCCCAACGCTCCAGCCAGCAAGGTGACTTCCCCCATGACTCTCCGTCGGATGGAAGTGCTGAAGGATGCCAGGCGAGACATGTCTCCACAGATCTGCATCCCGGCTCGATGCCCAAGCTCGTAGAGCAGGGATGGAGGACATGGTCCAGCCAGGAGAATACTGTCCACAGAGTGGGGACCGCTCCAGACATTGGAATACAGAGCACCCATAGGCCCTTGGATTCAGTTTTGTTCATTGAGGATATATGTCTTCCAGCATGATATAGTCAAAGATGGAGCTGTGGTTAAGGTCAGTATTAACCAGATAATCTTAGCTTTAGCAAAGGAGAATAGGCTTATGATATACTCATGCAAAAGGTCCTGATCTTTGTAATATTCATTCGCTCATTCATGCATTTATCAATTCACTAGGCATTTATCAAATACCCAACAAGGACAAAATGGGCCCCAAATGGTAGAAACATGGTAACATCTCACCAGGTAGATATATAAAGGGACAGAGCACCTAAAGTCATTAAATTGTCTTGAAGAAATGTCATCAGTCACATAAAACCCACTGCAGAAATCATGTTTCTGTACCAGGCCTCACACTTACTGGGCCTACCAATATATGTTTCTGATCTGAATCGATGTGTCAAATGGCTTCAGAGCACCTCATTCGTTTCAGAAGGTGAAGCTACTGTTGATCAGTTCTTCACAAATAAAGCAGAGATCAGCTTGGTTGGCCCATCAAATCTTCCTCCAAAAAAAAAAAAAAAAATGGAGAAGAATCTGAGGATTGTCTTATAACAGGCGTAAGTTCGGGGGATGTTTAACCTGGAGAAAAGTGAACCACTGGGATGGCACCTGGGAGCTGGGGATGCTACTGAGAGAGGAATGGGTTCTTAACCCAATGGGATCCCACAAGGATCACCAGGGCCTAAGGCACAAGGGACAGCTATTTGAAGACCAACCTACCTGTGAGTGAATCTGCCCCTGGATGCTCACTCCAATCCACCTTGGCTTTCCCCAGCGCCCTGGCCAGTCTTGGGAGGGAAGTCGGACTTTTCTTGGTGCTTCCAATGGGCCATGAACGCATTCAATCCAGCAATGAGGGGATGCTGCTAGAGAAATGAGAAGAACAGTTTCCATAGAGAAGAGGGGGCGGAAGCCAGATTGCACAAGGATTACGGAAGGAGTGGGTGGTGAGGAAGTGGCAGAAGTGACAAGTGACTGATGGAGAGAGAGAGAGAGCAGTCACTCAACGGGGTCAGGAAGACCTGAGCACGTTCATAAGTTTCTAGGAAGATGTCAACCAGAAAGGAAAGATGGGAAATGCAAGAAAGAGGAGGTGACTGATGGAGTGAGGTCTCAGAAGTACCAGGAGTGGGGTAAGAATAGAATCGCAAATAGAGGAGGAGGGACGGGCCTCAGAACAAGAGGGGGATGCAGCCTCCAGTAGTGAGGGGGAACCAATCAGGATGCCTGGCATTTGGGCCATGGAAATGAAGGAAACTGAGTGCTTCGGTCTTTGGTTCCTTTGTTCTATGGGACCAGGAGACCTCACTGGTGTCAGCCCACTGCCTGGAAGAAAGTAGAGAAGGTTTGGAGCCGTCCCACTAGGGCTTTGAGCCAAGACTCACTTAGAACAAAAGGTGTGGAGAGGGCACCAACCTGAGCCTCCCGGTCACTGTCTTCAGGTGACCCAGTGGGCGAGGCTGCAGCTGAATGGTTTTCCAGAGGTAGGTGTTCACAGAGCGCAGGATTAGGAGGGAACTGCAGGTTGTCAAGGGCAGGGGATGCTCGGACAGGGCCTCAAGTTGGCGGTCTAGAGGAGGAAGAGGAGGATGAAAAAAAAATCAAGGAAAGTAGAAGAGTAAGAGCCTGTTGAGGATGAAGAGAAGATTCCAGGAGCAAGAAAGCAGAAGGATATGGGAGATCTTGGTGGGATCACAAGACCCACCTTGGACCATCCGAAGAGACCGTCTTGATGGGGGAAGGGAAGCCATAAGCACCCTTTTCCTTCCCAAGGTCAGACAGGTATCAGGCTTAGGGTAACTCCTTTCTGCCCCCAAGCCACAGTCTTCCTCCAAGGTATGGCAAAGCTCCCACCTCAGTCTGCGTGGCCAATACTGGTGTCCCTGTTAGAACAAAAGGACTTCTAAATCCCAGCCTGAAGAAGCGGGCTCACTCTGACAAACCCCCTTTTTATTCCTTTTTATTTTACGCATAAGTCTGTGGGAAGCGGGGTCCTCTATTGGACTATCTCAGGCAGAAACCAGAAAGACCCAACACTGTTGACCAAGTCTCAGAAACTCACCAAGCTGAAGGGGAACCTTGGACAGTGACTTGGACTTCCCAAATCAGAAGTCCCCGTAGAGATGATGAAACCACAAAGGACCATATTGGGCGCATGAGGGAGGAAGTCTGAGCTGGAGACTGCGGCCACTGATCAGAGCTGACATGCAGAGAAGTGACCTTGGAGCGGGTCAGCCCACCCAGTGCTTCATTCACAAATATTTATTGGGCCTCCTGGTGCCGAGTTCTGCCCTTGGCAGTGAGCATATCTAGACACAGTTCTGAAGAAAAGAAGCAAACAATATAATGTGCTTAGGAGGGTGCTACGGGAGGAGAGGACCACTGACCCAGAGCCACGTGGTCAGGCAGGGCTTCTGGAAGAGGCGAAGCTCTGAGCTGTGTGAGTGAGTGGGGAGGAATCTCCAGGAGAAAAGTCGGGAAGGAATTCATCATTCATTTATTCAGCCAAGGTTGACTCGCGGGCTCTCTTCACAGGGCACTGTTCTAGGGGCTGAAAATACAACAGGGAACCAGAGAGCCCCAGGTCCCTGTCTGTACTGAACTTTTTAGGGGAAGAATACCCACGCTGTACTCAGAGGATTGCATGTTTTCCAGCCCGATTAGAAGCCAAGGTCTGAGAGGGCTAGGAACAAGGAACCAGAGTGGGAAGGTGTGTAGGGGTGAAGTTGTAGGGGTTTGCATTCCATGATAAGGAGTCTGGAGCAGTGGAAGAGTCACTGAAGAATTTCACACAGCCACCATCTGCATTCAAGTGGGCGATGGTAAGGAAGGCTGAAGGAAGGGGAAGACTTGGTGTCGAGGCCAGTTGAGAGACCATTGAATTTCTCCAGATGACAAGCTGGGGACAAGTCCATAAATTTGGAGGATTTGTAAAGAGATAGAACTGGATGCGCTATTGGGCAAGAAAAGAAAATAGTGCTCCTTCGAGAGCACCTGGAGGGGCCTGGGCGCTGAGCAGAACACAGAAGGACATGGAGAGGGTCAAGAAGAAAATGACAACGTTCCAGACCCATGGCCGCTGTGCGCTTCCAGGAGGACCACAGTTGGGGTGGCTGTGGCAACAGGCCTGAAGCTCAGGAGAAAAACCTGGACCCAGGTGTCCACAGAGCACCAATGGGGACAGAAGTCACAGGAGCGGGGCAGATGGAAGTGCTCAGGGGGAGCATGTATGGTGTGAAGAGAGGAGGGCGGAGGCAGGACTTTAGGGATCTCCAGCAATGAAGGGGCAGGAAGGACGGAAGAGAGGAGCCCAAGAAGGACCAGTGAGAAAGACATCCAGGCACACTGCGCGTGGGGCGGGAGGTGGGTGCAGGGGACAGGGGTCAGGTGTCAAAGAGCTCCAAGAAGCCCTGGAAAGCCCCTGAGAGCCTGAAAATCACCATGGGATGCAGATGCAGCAACATGGAGGCCTTTTAATGAGATTGGTGTCCGTGGGAGTGGAACTTGGAATGTGGTGGGAAGAGAAGAGAGAGAGAGGGTTAAGAAAGAGGAGAGCACACCCACCCTGCCGAGCACCTCACCCAGAGAGGAGAGGAAAGAGGCACCGAGGATAAATAATCATTGGGTTGAGGGAGGGCAGTTTTATCTTCCGATGACAAAGATTCCGTGTGTTCATCATCCAAGAAGAACCAGCCAGGAGAGAGGGGCAGGGAGAGTGAGACTGGAGCTGAGACAGAGCGGAGGTGAGGGCAGAGCAGCATTGACTGGAACCCTGGGAGCTGAATGCAGAGCGCTGTGCTCAGGATCGGCCTGGAGGAGAGATGGGGAGCCAGCCCGGCCTCCCAGGTGGGAGGGCAGAAGGCCCCTGTGGGGCTGGGCAGGTTTATGGTTGGAAAACTGGAGAGGAGAGGAGGCAGGGAAGGAGGTCTCAGCCTCATCATGGCGAGTGTGGGTCCCCAGCGGCCAAACCCTGGATAGGACAGAAGAAGAGTGGCCACATCTGATGCACTGGACGTTGTGGCTTCAGGAGGTTTGGTGCTATGGAAGGAGAGGACCACTGACCCAGACCCACGTGGTCAGGGAGGGCTTCTGGAAGCCCACGGTGGTGCCACAGAATCCCTGCCAACTTGCAGAAAGAAAGCTCCAAGTTGCCCCAGCACAGAGAACAATGTGGACCGAGAGGTCGGCACAGAAACCAAAGATGCCATCTCCAGAAGGAAGAGCCTGTGCCACATCCGGGCAGCCAGGCTATGAGCCTGAGTGACAGTAGAGAATTCTCACTGTGAGGGAGAGGAGGTCAGGAGAGAGGAAGGGAGGAAGGACACAAGACACTGCGTGCATTCTGAACAATCCTGTGCCATGCGCTTTGGGGACATTCACTCACCTAGTTCTCTTACCAGCCACGTGCGGTGTTATCATCTCTACTGTGGAGATGAGAAACCCTAGGCTCTGGGTGGTTGCTGAAGCGTCGGCAGCCAGGTAGCAGCAGGCAGCGGGGCTTTCATTCCAGGCCTTTCTTCCCTGGAAGCCAGGTGCCCCTCTCACAGGGCACACGGCTTCCTAGAGAGTCTCTCCACAAAGCCACCCTTAGATCTGCAACCACCTATGGACTTTACGGCTGCACCGTTCCTGCACAGCAGGAAACCCAGTGAAGGCCTCCCATCTGCCGAGGCTGGAGGGGAACAGCATTGCCACCGCACACTGCTAAAGGTAAAAGTTAAATTAGAAGCAGGAAACCCAACAAAACAAAAAAACACTGGTCTTGGGAATAAAAGACATGAGTGAATTTAGTCCCTGGCTCTCAGACCCACCAATTGTGTGACTTGGAGATGTCATTTCACACTCTAAGGCTCAGTTTCCTTCTCTGCAAAATAAGAATCCCTTCCTCATGGAAATGCAAAATAAATAAATAAATAAATAAATGAATACAAACAAGGGCGTGCCAGGAACTGCTAAACACAGGCTCTCAAAAAAAAAAAAAAAAAAAAAAGTTTGCCTAGATCTGAAGAGTTTGCTGATTTCCATAGTGTAAATATTTCCACCGTGGCTGACGTCAAGCCATTGAGGTGCTGTCCCTGCCTGCAGAGCGGAGAAGAACTAAGGGGTACCACACAATATAACACTACATAGTATTTCCTCTACACAGAAACAGCCTCCAGAGTACAGGTAATAAAATAATTAGAGAATGATGTGGTTCTTAGTGTTGATTAGCTTTGTTGTAAACATGGTTTAGTTAATTATAAGTTTATATAAGTGAATCTTTAATAATGGCTGTTTAACGACTGGTTCACAAAGTGCCTAAAAGATAACCAGCAGGCCTCCTAAGCCAGCTGCGGCACGGCTCTGACCGTAGCGGTTTGCCGGGCTGAATGAAGGGTAGGGTTGGGATTGGAACCCAGTTCTGGCTGACTTCAGAGTCCCAACTGCCACCAACTTCCTGCCTGCACTGCAAAGTGGAGACCAGGCTGTCGATAATTTCGGTCACCCCTGGGCCCTGCTAGAGAGAACAGAGGGGATGCTCACCTGCAGCCGCCCAACAAGGGCATGGCCTGCCTCCTGCCACTGCCTGGGTCCAGCCTGGATCTCAGCCACCTGCCTGCCTCTACTCAGCAAGCCAGCAGCAGCTTTTGTAATGATGCCACAGAGCCTGTTTCTGGGACAAGCATTTTATTAATCTTCCCAACAGTGGGACTTCTGGGTCCATCCACTTCCTGGATCCCCTAGAGCCTCAGTTTCCTCCTTTATTAAAATGAACAGGTGGGACCATCTAACCTCAAAAGTCCCTCCCAGCTCTGAAGTCCTCTGACCTGACTCACTACACAGGTGATGTCAGAGTTTCTGACAGCTGCAGAACAGGCAGGTGACAGGATCACGGCAGGAGCCAGAGGAAGTTGGACACGTAGCAGAGACCAGATAGGAAGCAATTGTGCTGGTTTCATTGAGAGTCCCAAAGAAGCAGCTCAAAGGGGGACAAGAGACTACCTCTTTACACCGTGGAACATGCCTACCTGGAAGGAAGCAAACCCAAGCACTTGGTCCTGCTCCCCACTGTGACATGCACGATAACAAGTCCTTCTCTGAGGGCACCCCCACTTCCTCATCTCTAATGGGAGGTTGTTGAACTCCACGGCATCTGACTTCCTCTCAATCTGACTGTATTATTCCATAACCCTAGGATTAAAAACCCAACTAAGTATAAGGAGATAGAGAAGAGGGGAAGGTTGTGGGACATGGGACCACAGAATCCAATGGGGATAAGAGAGGAGGAGGGGAACCCGGTGGCTAGAAGTCTCAGCTTCAAGGGTGAAGAGATGAAGAGGGTGATTAACATGCGTGTGCCGTGCATGTCCCTGTGGGCATGTATGGCGGAGGTGAGTTTGGCTAGGGAAGCCTGGTGCGTGATATTGGCGGATACCTCCAACATACAAATAGCATCTCATCCCTGGGGTGGTCCCGAGGCCAGGCACAAGGGGTGGGTACCACCCGGTGATGCTAGCAGAGTGTGGGGCTGATCCCCTCCATGTTGCCATGGGAGCTCAGGAAGAGAGCAGGCTGGGAAGTGACTGTTGGGTGCAGCTCCATCTCGAGAGAGCCTGTATCACGCCTTTGGCAGAACATCAGGTGGGAGTCTCAGTGCACAATGAGCTATTGTTCTTTGAGGCTTTACACTAAATCCGTTTCCAAGGTTTTATGAATCATTTTGCTGCTGATCTTTAAAAAAAAATAATAATACACAAGCCGCAGTGGAAGAAGCCTTCAGCTCATTTTCTCTGAGAGAGGGATGTGAACTTGGAGAGAACTCCTTCCCACCTCTTGCCTGCACAGACACTTGATCTTCCCCATAACTGTCAGAACAGCCTCTTGGAAGGCCATGATGCCGCCTGTGGCACCGGCCACCTCTGTGTTGAGCCTCAGCCAGGGAAGGAAAGCCTGGTTCCTGAGGAAGGGACAGATAAGTGCCCAGACTCTGTGACTGCCAGGAAAATTAATGACAGGCAGCTCAAGCTAAGGCAGAGCAGTTGCTGTGCCACCCCAGAGGTCCCCAGACAGGCCTGTGTCCTTAGGAAGTTCAGTCTCGCAGAAGCACAGGGATGGGTATTTGCCTTCAAGGCATAAGGTTGGCCCTCTGTGTGCCCAGAACGCCTTTCCAAGGATGCACATGTGACTCGTGGCCAACAGTCCCCTGCTCATTCTTCAGCCACCTGCCTGCTGGCCCTTCTGTCTGCTGGACAATGGGCCAAAGGTACCCCTTGAAAACTGGACCAAGATGATGATGAAAATCTCCAGTTACCCAAGGCATCCCGGGTCCCCAGCAGATGTTAGAGTGCTGGCTCCTTCTCGGGTCACCCACCCGTCCCCCCCTACAGCAGGTCCCGGCAACTTACTGAACGTGCCAGCGTGCCCACTCCAGTCTAATCCACTCCAGACAGGGGCCCACGGGAGGTGTTAATTCACAGCACCGTCTTTCTAAATCGAAATTGGGGTCACTTATCTAGAGTCCACCTGGCTTTGTCACTTTCGTCAGAACGGACCCGGCTCCCAGCTTCCCTGGTGACAGCTGTGTCACTTCACCTGCTCTGCTTCTGGATCCTGACGTGCTCCTCCAGCTCCTGACTCCCCACCCCGCTTCTGGAGTTGGGTCCTGCCTCAGTTCCTCCTGTTTCCCTGGGAGCCCCAACTCTGAAACACTCCCTGAGCCCAGCCAACGCCCTCCTCACCTCCCAGGCCTCAGTCCCCACCTCCTCCTACCCTACCGCCTGGCTCCGACTTACAGATGGTTCCAGCGCTGGTTATTATTTAAACGAGCTGCTTCTGGCTCACATGTTAATTAAAACCCGCTGTCCAAAATCTCCTGGTACAATTTGCAGTGTAATCTGTAGCCTCTAGTGCATCATTGTATCTCTATTAAAAGGGATTCTCTGTAATGATGCGGGGATTTAATTAGTTTCTTTGCCAATGTTGTAAAACACAGTGATAAACGAGCCAACAGGTCCGTGGATCATTATTCTCCTCAAGATGAGCTTATTAGCTGATTATGAATCATTAACAAAGTCTACACGGGATTTTCTTATCTAATTCAACACAATTTTTAACATTCAATGCTCAACATCCATTTCTTTCAACCAGCAACATTGTGTGGTGATTGCAATCTGTATGTGTGGCTTCCTATTCTTGCCTTGGGTTTTCCCGCTCTTGGTATTTAATTTTAGTTATGTGGAAGGGGGAAACGAGACCAGCGACTGGGGACCCTATTGTGGTGAATCCAGAATCTTGTTCTGGAGAGGGAGACGGTCAGTGTGAGCTAGGACTGGGAGGGTGTGTGTTTATGTGTGTACACTTGTGTATGTGTATGTACCTGCAGTGAAGGGACAGCCTGTGGCCATAAGAGTTCCTCTGTGCATGGATAGGTGTGTTCTGTATTCACACGTGTGTGTCCACAGCCTGTGAATGGTGCCTCCTCATCTGCACCTTGAGTCTCCACGTGTGTGTGCACACATGCACAAGTATACACACATAGGGGGTAGCTTAAAGGAAAAGAAAATTCTGAGTCGTCTTCAGACTGGCGTTATTCAACCACTCCATGAGATGTCAGCATCCCCCAAGAGTTTCCAAGGGGCCCTTCCTATCTTCCCAGCTTGGGGCCATTCCCCATTCAGTCAGCACCATATGGGGTCCCTGCCATTGTCCAGGCACAGAGCTAGGTCCTACCGGCCCCTACAACAGCTCTGTGAGGTATGGGCCCGCCCCCTGTTTTTCAGATAAGGAAACTGGGGTCCAGAGAGGTTGAACGCTTTGCAGAAGATTATCACTCGTGACTGGTGGGGTCAGTGTCCATCCTACTTCCGCCTCATTCGGAAGCCCTTTCTGGGATGCTGGGCTGCTTCCTGGTGTGGGCTTCCTCTCATCTGAGAACGCAGCTGTGGTTCCTTGGGGCACAACGGACACGCTGCTCCCCCTGCAGCGCCACCTCCAAGCACACACACACCACCTGGGTCCTGGCCTTCTGTGGGCTCCATGTGGGAAAAGCAGCTTCTGCATCCAGGACAAGGCATCCCCCCGGGAAGCAGCTCCGTGATCTTGGTCCTGGAAGGCCACGGCCATCTCTGAATGCCTTTTCATTTCAGCAAGAAATGGTTCCACCTGTGTCTTCAGCTACTCTGACCAAAAATATTACTGCTGACGATTATGACAGCTGGGTACAAACGACGTGAAGAGAAGAAAATGAGGTGTGATCACCTCCACATTGCCATGACCATGAGGCTCCGTGGAAGGGACAATGTGTACGTGAGCATTACTGTCACAGCTCGGGGGGCTCGGAGGCCCAGCATGCTTAGATCTCAAATACACAGGCCAGAGAGAGACCAGGAAAGCTAGATTTGAGACTGATAGAGAATGGGGAGTGTTTGGAGCTGAATTCGGTCCCTCCAAAATTTATAGATTAAAGGTATAACCCCCAGTACTTCAAGTGTGTTCGCATTTGGAGATGGAGCCTTTAAAGAGCTTCTTAAAGTAAAACAAGTTCACTCGGGGACCCCTAGGATAACACGCCGGTGTCCTCATATGAAGAGGAAATTAGGACACACACATTCAGGGGAGGATGACATAAAGACAGGGAGAGGATGACCATCTACTCGCTGAAGAGAGAAGCCTTAGATCTCAGACTTCCAGCCTCTGGGACGGTGAAAGCATGGATTGTTGTTGAAGCCACCCATCTGTGGTACCCTGGTGGAGAATGATTCTTTATCCTGTTGTCAATGCACTCCTCAGGAAGGTGGTGAACATGACCTGGCTTCAGGTCAGGATCTGTACCCATGCAGGTCCAATGTGATCCGCCATGGACACTTGGCTGACAAGAAAGCTCTAAAAGAAGCAGGATGGTTCCAAGTAAATCATCCAAAGAGATAACCCAGCAACTGCAAGACTGAAAAGAACTTTGTGGGAGTCAGAAGCTCAATCAGACTGATAGGATGCTAGGGCAGCTCTAGTCCCAGGAGGAATATATAGTTCTACACAAGAACACAGATGTAAAATCTTGGTGACATTAACAGAACCCGTGTGGTGGCAGGTAGGAAAAGTCTTTGCAGAGCTTTTCACAAGTTCACCAATTTGCTACAGACTTTGTATCAGTTAGCTCTTGCTGTGTAACAAAGCATACCAAAACTTAGTGGCTTTAAAAAAAAAAGCATTTATTATTGTTCATAAGTCTATGGGTCAGCTAGGCTTTTTGTTAATTTGAGTTTTTTGTTTTTGTTTTTGTTTTTTTGCCAACCTGAGCCAGGCTGGCTGATCTCAGCTAAGTTTATTCATGTATCTACTCTGAATTGGAAGTGAGCTAGGGGGCCAAAAGAATTAGAGTGATCTCACCTGGAACAGTGAATGGGAGCCAAAAAGCAGAGAGAGCAAAGGGAAGGGGCCACGGAGAAGATGAACCTTTGCAGGGCATGCCCCCAGTGACCCACCTCTGCCAGTCATGCCCCCCACCTGCTAGTTAGTCCATTGAGACCAGAACGAAATGATGAGGTTACAGCTCTCATAATCTAATCATCTCATTGCTGACGATTCCTGCATGAACAGGGACTTTTGAAGGGCACCTCACATCCAAGTCATAGCAGCAGAGCAGGACCCTCTGTGTCTCCGTATGGAGGGGCTACAGATAATCCCCTGACTCACCCTGTATACAGTTGGAGTGCCACCAAAATGTCATGCAGGGATCTGAAAGGAGTGGGGTCTTCTGGGTTTTGCTCCTCTTCTTTTCTCTGTCCCCTCTAGAAGTCACGTCCCTTCTCACCACCTCAACTGCCTTTCTTCTGCCCAAACACAGCTGTAGAACTCCTCAGATACAAGGGACTTCACAGGACAGTGGCTTCACAGTGGAAACTGAGGGAGAAAGAAACAGAGAAAAGTGACTCCTGAGGGGCATTGAAGCAGATACCAGACTCTGAGAAGAGGTGCTAAGGATTCCTCCAAGACGTTCTGATAGCTATCTCGCCACTGTTTTATGGAATTTACAACTCCATATAAATAAGTGGTTGTAAAAATCTTATCTCCAACCCAGACTCTTCTCCTGAGCTCCAAACCCATAAATCCAGTTCTCTGCCTAGCTCCTCTGGGCTGTCCCATACGTCATCACCGTAAGCAATGAACGAACCCTCACTCCCATGGTCTCTGCTCCTCTTCCTGTGTTGCTCATGCCCACCACCCACCCAGTCACCCAAGCCCGCAATCTGGAAGTCACTCTCGACTCCTACTTCTCCCTCACGGGTCCATTCCCACCCCATATCTCCACCGGTAACAAGTTTTTATCACTTGGAGTATCTGTAGCATTCTGAGGAATATTTCAAAGAGTAAGTCTCTTCGTGTCCTTCTCTGGTTTGTACCAGTGGCTCCTTAGTGCCCAAAGGTCTTCGTCCCAGCACAGCTTTCCAGCCTCTACTTTCTCCTCCTTCTGTGTGAATGTCAAGTTCTCCGTGTCTTTTACTTCTTTGGGTGGCACCCTGACTTCACCCTCAGGCTTTTGCATATGCCGCTTTTTCAGCTGGAAATATACTCCCTTGCTCTATCCCTGTTGCTTGATTGCTCCTTAAGCCCCAAACCTCAGCCCACACGTGTCTTTCTTGGAGAAGACGTCCTTTACACTCATGGTTTGGGTCATGTCTTTTCCCACACCCCCTTTTTAGTACTTTCACATTGCATACTTCTTTTTGATCTGTGTCCCCCCCGCCACTAGTCTATAAACTCCTTCAAAGCAGGAATCATGTCTTGATCCACAGTATAGCTTCTGAGCTTGGAAATGCATTAACACAAAGTGAACATATAATAAAGTATTGTTTCCTAAATGAATGAAACTTAGATGAGTCATATGGGGTTAATTTACATACCCCAGGGGAGTTTCCAATCTACTTATATTAAATCTTTTTGAAAGATGCCAATAGTCACCTTCCAGATAGGGATCATATAAGTGAAGGGTTGTATATCTGTGGTTTTATTTCAACAAGGTACACTCGATAAACAGGGAGGCAATTAACTGGGAAACTCATTCCCTGCCCTCTGCTTATACAAG